CACTGCCATGGCCCCCCAGCACTGCCAGACCCCACCACAGTCCCCCTGCAATGCCGGGCCACACAGTCCTCGTGGCCTGCACGAGTGTCCCAGGGACCGTGAGTGGGGGCGTACCTTCCTTCTCCTGCCCCAACCCCTTCTTCTTCTTTTTTTTTTTTTCCCAAAAAAACCAGCAACTCCTTTCCAAGCTGTGAATTTCCATCTGGCTGGGTTTAGTCACCAGCGCATGCGGGGAAATCAGAACTCTCTCGAAACAGTGGAGACTTGCTAACGCCATCATTGCTCGAAAGTTGGGGGCCAGTCCCTTGCTGGTGTAACTCGGCAGCGTTGCTTGGAAACAGAGCGTGGTATCGCTTTGCACCAGCTTGGTATTTCACTCGTGTCTTTTCGGTTAAAGCCCTCTCTGGTTTTGACTTGTTCGGCAGGATGTTTATGGGGAACTGCCCCATCTCTTCCAGTTATCGACGGGTTGCCTCATATTTCCCCCCTTTTTCTTGCAACCGCCTCACGTCCACTGGTCCCACAAGCTGCAGCTTCACATCACAAAGTGGGTCAGCGCTTCCGGCCCTTGGGCCGCAGCCACTCCATCGCCTGGGCGCCCCGAGCGATTGGATCGCCCCAGAGCAATCGGCCTGGTGAGCAGCGACGTGCAGGCACGGGGAAATACCGTCTGGGGAAAAGTAGGTGGCAGAGCAGGGCACTGACCCGCTGGGATATGGTTTGCCTCGTTGTCTTCCCCTGCCACGCTTTGCACCGGCACGGTGCCTGCTCTCTAACCTCAACACACCCCAAATCCAGCTCCCCCCAGCTCTGCTATTTGCAGTGGCCGTGCCAGCCTTTGGCTGGGTTTGGGCACCCCCTTAGCAAGCAGAGCCGCACGCTGGCCTCACACCCTGGCCGCAGCAGGGGGAGTTTCCCTTTGGGATCCCCCTGCTGACAGCCCTTGCGGTTTCCCATCGCCGCCGCGGACTCCCCAGGGATCGGCCCGGCGATCCCCGGCAGAGGCCAGGCTGCCTGCACTTCCTCCCGCCACCTTTCGCTCCCTCCCTGCATGTGGCTGGCGCAAAATCGCGCCCGCTCTCCCTGACGCAGGGAAGAGGCTGCTCCGTCACCCACCGGGGCTGGATGGCCCTTAAAAACCTAAAAAGGATGTGGAAGCAAGTGGGAAAAGCCACGGGGCAACAGGAAGACAGAGGTGCTCTGATAGGAGAGGCTTTTAGGGACATGGAAAGCTGCTTGCAACCATGCAAAGAGCTGCTCTGCCCTTCCCCTCCCCACCGGGAGCAGATCAAACACCAAATGGCAGGAAAATGTGGCAAAACCGTCATGGCTCTACTCTGCTCTGACACCCGCAGGGCAACTACCCGGGCCGCGCCGAGCCAGCGCCTCCGGCATGGAGGAGCTGGGATCACTGGAGGAAGGAAGTTTCCACAATGCCTCTTTGTCCACCAAAGTGAAACCCCTTGGTGCATTTTCTTGCTGCGGCCCTGGTGGCCTGCACTCGGAGGATGTCCTCTGCTCTGTGCTGGCCTCTGGGAAAGGCTGGGATTGCCGGAAAGGTCCTGGCGGCATGGGGGAGAGGGGCCGTGGCCCGGCCAGCAATGCCAGGAATGCAGCTCCGTCCAAAGGCCGCTGAAATAATCGCGGTGGCCGCGGCTGAGCCCTGGCTCCCACCTGGGGAGGTGACGTCAGCCCTGGCTGAGGCACCGTGGCGTCACTGCGACGCGATGACAGTGATACGCTGGGAGTTTGTGCCCGCCTGGATTCCCGTGGCACCCTCGCCACAAGGATAAAAATTCAATTTTTTTTGCCCTGGTGCCAAACGCGAGCGCGGAGAAGTGCGAAGCGACCGCTGGGCGCTTGCAGGAACCTCCTGCTTGCCCTGCGGCCGGGCCACTGGGGCAGGCAAGCCTGCTGCGTTGGGATAAGATTTAGGGGAGAAAACACCGAACAGGGGGAGAAAATGCCAGATACGTGGAAAAAATGCCAGACTTGCCCTGCAAAGCCCCTCAGACGGGCACATTTCCACCTCGGGGAACTGCAGAAAGGTGCAAGGACCTGGAGAGGTGCCAACACGATGAACCCATCGGCACCCAACACTTTCAGGGGCTCCTGATCCCGCAAATACTGTCGGGAAAGGACTTTTTTCCCCTGAAGTGGGGCAATAACGTGAGCTGGCACCACCAGGCTTATTCTGGGGTCTTGCGGGAAGAAATGCCAGTGCCGAGGTGCATCCCCCAGCCCCATGGCCTCATCCAGAAGCAGATTCTTGGCAGCAGGAGCAATAACAGCAACGCGAGCCGGCCTCACGCCGGCGGCTCAGGGCAACGCTCGGGACAGATTTGTCCGGCAGTGCCAAGCGTTAAAGTACACGCACACAAACACCGGCACGGCACATACTTGGCACAAGGCTGGAACAACGCGTCCCGGCCCGGCCCTCGTGACGGCACCCAACCCGCGGGGCCCCGGAAGGAAAGAGGCCCCTGCGGCAGAGCTGGCACGGGGGGTGGAGGGGAGGCAGGAGGCTTTTGGGGGGGCTTGGGGTCTCAGGGCGCGAGGGCCCAGAGGAGGGCTGGCAGTGACCCCCCGCAGCTTCGCGGAGGGATTTTGGAGCAGAAAAGGAAAAAAAAAAAATCAACCAAGCTCCCTCTCCAGCCCCCCCAAATTCCTCAGCGCTGAGCCCAGGCAGCTGCTAGCCAGGCCCGGCCCCCCGCC